TTTTAAGCCTGTTAGAAAAATATAGACACACAAAGCATAATATATAATCAACATTACAAGGTAGAAAAATATAGACACACAAAGCATAATATATAATCAACATTACAAGGTAGAAAAATATAGACACACAAAGCATAATATATAATCAACATTACAAGGTAGAAAAATGTAGACACACAAAGCATAATATATAATCAACATTACAAGGTAGAAAAATATAGACACACAAAGCATAATATATAATCAACATTACAAGGTAGAAAAATATAGACACACAAAGCATAATATATAATCAACATTACAAGGTAGAAAAATATAGACACACAAAGCATAATATATAATCAACATTACAAGGTAGAAAAATATAGACACACAAAGCATAATATATAATCAACATTACAAGGTAGAAAAATATAGACACACAAAGCATAATATATAATCAACATTACAATGTAGAAAAATATAGACACACAAAGCATAATATATAATCAACATTACAAGGTAGAAAAATAGACACACAAAGCATAATATATAATCAACATTACAAGGTGATCATGAGTAAATATAGTAATGTAATATGCACGGCTGTATTAACTAATGTGTTACCAAATGTGTTTGTCTGTTTCTTTCTCTAAAGTCTTTATATCTTCAAACAGTGGCGCAATGGATAACGCGTCTGACTACGAGTCAGAAGATTCCAGGTTCGACTCCTGGCTGGCTCGCTCTGCCTCATTTGCTTCGCTGTCAGCCCATAGCCATGTTATTATTATTAGCCCATAGTTTTTGTTATTATTATTATTGGATTAGTTGAATAATATTTTAAATTGACAGTCCAACAATAGGCTGCTTTGTCAGTGGGATAACGGTTACCATACAATACCATGCATCTTTTCAGATGCATTGCATGGGTACTGTCACAAGGACCTTGCTTTGCGACAAGTTTATAGTGTCTATTATGCCAGCACAGGAATGGGAGAAAACTGAACCCCCTGGGCGAGGCAAATGCACTCAAGGGTGCCTGACTGGTGGGCCAGTGGCGCAATGGATAACGCGTCTGACTACGAATCAGAAGATTCCAGGTTCGACTCCTGGCTGGCTCGCTCTGCCTCTTTTGCTTCGCTGTCAGCCCATAGCCATTTTATTATTATTAGCCCATAGTTTTTGTTATTATTATTATTGGATTAGTTGAATAATATTTTAAATTGACAGTCCAACAATAGGCTGCTTTGTCAGTGGGATAACGGTTACCATACAATACCATGCATCTTTTCAGATGCATTGCATGGGTACTGTCACAAGGACCTTGCTTTGCGACCAGTTTATAGTGTCTATTATGCCAGCACAGGAATGGGAGGAAACTGAACCCCCTGGGCGAGGCAAATGAGAGCTCCCTCCGATGAGCCAGATGAAATTGAATTCAGTAAACTATCCCTTCGGATCATTCCCATATTCTTAAAGGGGGGCGGTCACACACTAAAAGCCAAAGGGCCTGCTTGCGGCTTGAGGCTTGAGGCTTGAGGAAGTTCCCATATGGTCTAGCGGTTAGGATTCCTGGTTTTCACCCAGGTGGCCCAGGTTCTACTCCCGGTATGGGAAGTTCGTGTTGTCTTTGCTTCACTTATGGAAACAGCCAGGACGTCTCTCTGTGCCACTAGCACTTTTAGCCGGCAGGCGGAGCTTTCGAAACCTGATAGGTTTAGGTTCTGTCCCCAAACGATGTGCCTTCGATAGCTCAGCTGGTAGAGCGGAGGACTGTAGGTGGCAAATTGGCAATCCTTAGGTCGCTGGCTCGAAGGAGGTCTTTTTCACAAGCAAACATTTCATTGGCCATGCTTCTCGATAACGGTTACCATACAATACCATGCGTCTTTTCAGATGCATTGCATAGGTACTGTCACAAGGACCTTGTTTTAAGACAAGTTTATAGTGTCTATTATGCCAGCACAGGAATGGGAGGAAACTGAACCCCCTGGGCGAGGCAAATGCACTCAAGGCTGCCTGACTGGTGGGCCAGTGGCGCTTCATGCCGCCTGTAAATCGTGGTTATTCTTGGTTATGACAGCCAATCACGTTCCCTGCTGCAACCAAGATTCGTACTATTCTTGGTTATGACAGCCAATCACGTTCCCTGCTGCAACCAAGATTCGTACGCTTATGGCCAATCGCGGCTCTCATCGCTACCATGATTCAGCCTAGTAACTAACCAAGAATTGACCAATAAACGGCAAGAGTCACCTCCCCCCCAGAGACTTGCGAATTGGGACCGGAGAAGAGGATAACATTCATTGATTAACTTCGGATCAAAATTCGCAAAGTAAGTCAGTCTTTTGTCAATAAAAGTGAAGTGCCAAATATATAGTTGTTTTATATGAATAACATGTGTCTCAGACTAGCTAATAATTCAAGTAATTAATACAAAATATAATTAAAAAATGTGTTTATAGATAAAGCGACCAAGCAGAACAAAGCATAACATTACAGTTTACTACAGCTTTACCAGTTGCAACATTAAAATGATTGTTACACACTAAGGCATCACTAATTATAATTCAATTACTGTAATATAGTGTACATTATGCTTCTACTTTTAGTACTTTTACTATATTTTTATGCTAAACTAACTTTTTTTTAGCTAACGTTAAGTAGGCTAACATTTTGAATGCATTACATTTAACTGTTACTTGTAATAGAGCAAAGGAAATTTAAAAGAGGGGAAAGTAGTGGTATAACAATGGTATAATAATGGTATAATAATTATTGAAAAAATGACATCTTACTCTGGGATCATTCTGAGATTCTGATATGTAAATCAACATTTTAAGCCTGTTAGAAAAATATAGACACACAAAGCATAATATATAATCAACATTACAAGGTAGAAAAATATAGAGACACAAAGCATAATATATAATCAACATTACAAGGTAGAAAAATATAGACACACAAAGCATAATATATAATCAACATTACAAGGTAGAAAAATATAGACACACAAAGCATAATATATAATCAACATTACAAGGTAGAAAAATATAGACACACAAAGCATAATATATAATCAACATTACAAGGTAGAAAAATATAGACACACAAAGCATAATATATAATCAACATTACAAGGTAGAAAAATATAGACACACAAAGCATAATATATAATCAACATTACAAGGTAGAAAAATATAGACACACAAAGCATAATATATAATCAACATTACAATGTAGAAAAATATAGACACACAAAGCATAATATATAATCAACATTACAAGGTAGAAAAATAGACACACAAAGCATAATATATAATCAACATTACAAGGTGATCATGAGTAAATATAGTAATGTAATATGCACGGCTGTATTAACTAATGTGTTACCAAATGTGTTTGTCTGTTTCTTTCTCTAAAGTCTTAATATATTCAAACATTTGTATTTATTTAGATGGAACCTCGCTTCAGGAGACGAGCTGATGGCAGCCTGAATCTGACTGATACAATGGAAGCGGCAAAGGTGAAGGAGGCCAACAAAGGAAAGCCGTACACAAGACCCCTGTCCCCTGACATAGTGCTGGACAAGGCCAAGAAAAGCTTAAATCAGCACCACGGAGATCTAGCTAACAGAAAGCACCTGCTGGGTTTCTTTGAAATCCAGTTTGGTGTATTTCGAGGGCAAACATTCAAGTGGGTGGCTGAAAATGCCCTGGGGTATGCAGCTTACTTGGTGGCAGCTATGAAGAGGGACCCCACAGGAGGCAGCAAAGACTCCCAAGAACATGCCCACAACAAAGAGAGTTTCAGGGAGTATTTTGAGCTCTTTCCTTCTGGCAGAATTGCCATTGCCATGAAGGAAGAGCAAAATGCTGGGAAAGCTCTCCAGCACGCTGCCACCACCCAGCACGCTACCTCCACCCAGCACGCTACCACCACCCAGCACGCTACCACCACCCAGCACGCTACCTCCACCCAGCACGCTACCACCACCCAGCACGCTACCACCACCCAGCACGCTGCCACCACCCAGCACGCTACCACCACCCAACACGCTGCCTCCACCCAGCATGCTACCATCACCACCCAGCACGCTACCATCACCTCCCAGCACGCTACCACCACCCAGCACGCTGCCTCCACCCAGCACGCTACAACCACCACCCAGCACGCTGCCTCCACCCAGCACGCTACAACCACCACCCAGCACGCTGCCTCCACCCATACTTCCACCGCCTCTCTCCGCTCCCTCTTGTTTAGGAAGTTGCCTAACCAGAAAAGCCTGACCAAGACCATTGAAAGGCTGGTTTCCCCCGTCAAATCCACACCTTGTAAGCAAACATTTATTTGTATAACACTTTTTTGGTGTGTTTAGTATTTATTGCTTTGTAGGATTTTAGGATTTATTGTTCTGTAGTCATGTTTATCTGTTCTGTGTTTTGTTTTGTAGCTTTGGCCCAGGCACGTACGCGGCCCTCAGCCACCCTCACTCGCCCGACTGTGTCCATTGAGGCAGGCACAGGGACCTCAGCAATCCTCAATAACCCGACTGTGTCCATTGAGGCAGCCACAGGGACCTCAGCTATCCTCACTCGCCCGACTGTGTCCATTGAGATAGATGACAGCACACTGCTGGCAGAGGCAACTAAGTTTGAGATGGTACATCTGGCATGTACGTTTATACTTATTTAAAATATGCAACAAAATATTCAAGTTCCATTCCAGGGATAAAAAAGTTAAGGGAAGTTATTGCGAATTTGCATTTGTTGTATTTATTAAATTTTTTGTTTTTTTACCCAGCACAACGAGTCTGTCTTCCATCTGGATGGATACACACTCTGCCTGAAGTGGATCAGAGGTGGATTTCCAAGGCCCTGTTCAGGTGGACAGCACAGGGCCATCCTGAGCTGATCTTTAGCAGGGTGGACAAACCTTGGTGGTATCCTCCACAGGTTCCACTGAAGACCAGTAATTGCCCTCCCTTAGAGAACTACTTTGGCCATCCCCTGCTGCTCTGGATGCCACGAAAACTGTGGCAAGTGAAGCTGACCTGTCCACATCCAGACTGTCAGAAAGACCTTCTGACCTCAGCTGGCTTGCATCAAAAGATCAGGCAGGTGTTTGCCTTGGGTAAGATATACTTTGTGGCATCTGAGTACCTGGCCTGCCGAAGATGTAAGAGGAAAGTCATCAGCTGGAGCCATGATATCGTCTCCCAGCTCGACATTGGCCACAGGGTGCAGTTCCCTTGCATTCTTACATCAAAACTTGCATGTGACGTCGAGGTAGTATGTTTGATGCGTCAGCGAGGGCTGGGAAACAGCAGCAGCCAGATCCAGCGCAAGCTGCAGGAACGTCATACTGAGGTGTGGTTGCAAAAGACAGTCCAGTATCTGACAGATTGCAAGGGGATTGCCAGTGCTGTCACTTCGAGCCTGATCCTGCCTGTGACATTTGAATCTGCTCCTTCAATGCCTTCTGTCCCTAAGCATCGGTGGCTGATGCAGGTGTACGCCCAGAATGTCCTGCAAAGGCTGGATGAGATCAAGGCCACTATCACATCGCAATATGGTCGGATCTTAAAAATGGATTCAACAAAAAAAGTGGCCAGAAAACTAGCTGGACGCAGCTATGGCACTGCTACCTGGGCAACCAATGTTGGTAATGAGCACGGACAGGTGATCATGTCCGTGCTCACAGCCAGTGAAGGTTTTGGTCTCGGGCCAATGATTGAAGGCCTCATTAAAAGATACAGAGTGGCTGGGGTGGCTCCTCCCGAGATACTGTATGTTGACCGAGACTGCTGTGGCAACACTCTTCTGAGAAGAATGTTTGAAGAGTGGGAGCAAATGATCATCCGTTTGGATGTATGGCACTTCATGCGGAGGTTTGCTGTGGGTTGCACCACTGACTCTCATCAGTTGTATGCCACATTTATGAGTCGCCTCAGCCACTGTATTTTCATGTGGGACCAGGTTGACCTGACGGCCCTGAAGAAGGCAAAGCATGCAGAGCTAGAAGCTAACTGGAAACCTACATCCGAGGCTGATGTGCTGCGCAGTATCAGCCGTAACGAGCTAGCCCTACATTGCAGGAGAACCACTCGCGGGACCAAGGACACCCTGGCGCTGATTGAGAGCCATATTCAGGCCTTTGATGGAGATGCTGGTCGTGACACTATGGGAGTCCCACTAATAAACTCAGCCCGGATGAGAGAGATATTGAAGTCCCAGCGGAAGCATGTGGCCTGCATCCAGGATCCTGTAGGTGTGCAGCTCTACATGCAGACGGGCACTGTAGTGAAGGGAGGGCACCGTCTGCCAACCTACCGCTGTGCCAGAGGTTCCACTTCGCTTGAGTCATTTCACCTGCACCTTAACAGATTCATCCCAGGTAAATAAGTGACTTAACTGAATTATTAAAATAAGATTTGATTTAATTATATATTAAAATAACTATGGGAACAGCTATTTGTGTATCCATATGACATTTTTGTGTGGTCTTATTTTTCTTTTTTGAATTTACAGGTACGCTGGCGAGTGACACCTTCTTCCAGGCGTATCTTTTGGATGGACTTGCAAGGTGGAATGAGGACCGGGCTGTGGCAGCAACAACTGATGAGCAGCAGCCCCATTCCTACAATCATCTTCTGCGTCATGCTGTCAATACTCTTGCAGAGGAGGTTATGGGCAAGAAAATCATCCCTTATGTTGGGCCAAGAAAGTACACTGGTAGATAACTATTTGTTGTTTTTGGTCACATTTTTTTTAAGTGTACACATACCATTTAACCTCTGTATTATAATATAATATCCTGGTATATTATCTAATTTTCAATGTTTTAATATTTTAAAGGTGAGCTTATTGGAGTGGAATACCTTCACCAGCAAACTGGTAAAGTTCTGCAGGACTACAAGTTGGCCATTGAAGAGTCCGAGACCACTGAGGTTGGTATAGAAGTGGATGAAGGTTATGCTGAACTTGAGGAGTTTCAGGACATCACTGTCCCCACCTTTGACACAGAACGGACACCTGTTGCCTCTTCACAAGCATCAGTGTCTGCAGCATCATCTCCAACCCCTCCTGTCACCAGCTCCATTTCATCATTGTCTGTGGTTCCTCCATCACCAGTGACATCTCCTGTCACCAGCTCCATTTCATCATTGTCTGTGGTTCCTCCATCACCAGTGACATCTCCTGTCACCAGCTCCATTTCATCATTGTCTGTGGTTCCTCCATCACCAGTGACATCTGTCACCTGCTCCATTTCATCATCGTCTGTGGTCCCTCCGTCTCCTGTCACCAGCCCACTGCACAGTCATTCAAAGCCAGGACTCTTTCCTGGAGCACATAGCTGTGAGTTTACCAAAGTATCTATATAGAGTTATTGTGACAACAATTATCACCACCTCTATGTATATATGTCTTATTGAAAGGCAAAAATACAAATTTAAACTGAATGTTTGCCTTTTTCATGTAGTTCCAGTGGACCAATTATCAGCTGAAACTGGTCTTCTGACATCTGAAGAGAACACTTCACATGATGTAAGGGCCCAGTGTACATTTACGTCTGTAAACAAAATCTTAGTTATGTTTGCTGTGCTTTCATGTAAATATTTGTATTCATTGCTGCTATCAAAAGTTCCTAAATTATCTTTTATTTTAGGATTCTGTTGGACCTGATAATATTGGGGGGTATGGAGCCGTGCAGGACTTGGCAGAGTTCTTGGTTAGCCTCAGAGACCACCGTCTGGCCTTGACTGGAGAAGAGTGCGTCAAGATCATCACCCTATGGCAGGCATTGGGGGAGTATGACAAGAGGAAAACCATTTACCCACGACGTCACCAAACCTCCCTAAAACAGGGACGATTCAGAGCCACTAAGAAGATTGTGGCACCAGGTGTGGAGAGCACCAAAAGGTATGTTAAATTTAGCAAACACAGGTTCTTGATTGTCTTAAATTTTGTATAAAACAAACCACAAAACATAACTATGCACAGATATTAAAAATTAACATCTGGACAACACAAAGCAAAACAGACAGATTAGAAAAGGGGGAAAAAAACAAGAAAAATAACAGAGTAACGATCACACATTGAAATGAATATGTATTCTGCTGTAATTTGCAGGTGTTTCGTTGGGGCTCATAGTCCTGCACAGTGGCCTAGCTGCAACCGAGTGGTGGAGGCCATCTTCACAAGGCTCTGTGCCCTCTATCCAAACGTGGTGCGGTGTGATGGAGTGAGGGTGTCCCGCTTCACAATGGTGGTGCGTGCCTACAAGCACATCCGAGAGTGCATCCTCAACAATGCTAAGGTGATGAGCGAGACCACCATCCAGCTCCCAGAAGTTAACACTGCAACAGTCACACAATGGTGAGTAAATTAGCATTGTTCCAGCTAAGCATAAATTGAAGTGCCACACAAAGCGTTAAAGTCTTTTATGTGGTTGTCTTACAGTTTTTTTTTCAATCGCCAACAAGCGCTTACCCATACTTCAGATACTTTTTCGAAACTCTTAACACAGACTCACACCAACAAAACACAATTGGCCAAATGGATGATTTTCTTCTCAAAAACACATTTTGTTAAATATATACTAACTTTCAAAATAGAACACATCTTTCTCTACACACTAAATTTCCCAAAACACTGGAAATCTGAAAATGAAATTATTCTGTCAAAGAATAACACTTGTTTTCACTTCACAAGGTACATGCAGTCAATCAAAGTACACCAGGTTTCAAAATAATGGCTATTGTTGACATTACAAAAACTACATAGACTTTTATGTGTCAGTTTTACAGGTATTTGCATGCAAAAAATGCAATCCCCCGTTTTTACACTAAATTTCTTGGTTGGGACTTTTATGTCCACATTTACCGTACTGTTCACATTCAAAATCATTCCAGTAAAAAGCAAATCAGTTTTTTTCACCTCTCTCTGCACCTTCACCTCTCACTGCATCTCTCACTGCATCTCTCACTGCATCACTCACTGCATCTCTCACTGCATCACTCACTGCATCTCTCACTGCATCTCTCACTGCATCACTCACTGCATCACTCACTGCATCACTCACTGCATCTCTCACTGCACCTCTCACTGCATCTCTCACTGCATCTCTCACTGCATCACTCACTGCATCACTCACTGCATCTCACTGCATCTCTTACTGCACCTCTCACTGCACATCTCACTGCATCACTCACTGCACCTCTCACTGCATCACTCACTGCATCTCTCACTGCATCACTCACTGCATCTCTCACTACACCTCTCACTGCATCTCTCACTGCATCTCTCACTACGCCTCTCACTGCATCTCTCACTGCATCTCTCACTGCATCTCTCACTGCACCTCTCACTGCATCTCTCACTGTACCTCTCACTGCATCACTCACTGCATCTCTCACTGCATCACTCACTGCATCTCTCACTGCATCTCTCACTGCATCACTCACTGCATCACTCACTGCATCTCTCACTGTACCTCTCACTGCATCACTCACTGCATCTCTCACTGCATCTCTCACTGCATCTCTCACTGCATCTCTCACTGCATCACTCACTGCATCTCTCACTGCATCTCTCACTGCATCTCTCACTGCATCTCTCACTGCATCACTCACTGCATCTCTCACTGCATCTCTCACTGCATCTCTCACTACACCTCTCACTGCACCTCTCACTGCATCTCTCACTGCATGGGGTCAATTATTATTATTTTATTTTTTTATCAGCTGAGATATATTGTTTTTGAACTCATATCATTGCAGAAGCAGAGGTTTTTATAATATATCTAAGGTTTGGAATATTGTTTTTGCTATTGTGGGATGGTGTGTGTTACTGTAACATTTGTAAATACTACAAAAACAATCCATCATTTTGTTGGGAGGTATTGCTTGTCTGTTAAGAGAATGTAAGCATTTTGGAAATGTGTTCACTGACTGCATATTGTGTGAAAACGACATGACGTGTGAATGGTATGGCCACAAAAGATCGATGCTGTGCTAATTGTGTTTAGAGTTTTGAAAATGTGACAACTGTTTGGACAAATACTTGTTAGCGACTGAAAAAAACTGTAATATAGCTATGGCTGCTTTGACTTGTTGGCTAGAAACAAATCAACAAGAGTCCAACTTCTGCTTTCTTCTCCATTATGAAAAATAAGATTTATTGCTCACGACATGGTCTTCAACAGACTGCAAGAATCAATAATCAGTACAACGTATCTCCATAAACAGCTTTCCAACACACATACAAACGAACAGCTACTACCGTACCAGCGGCATTTTACTAAAGCAATGATACACGAGACAAGGGTGAGATCAATTGCTCTGTGATCTCAGCTGTGTCTTGCTGTTGCATCATAGTCATGATCAAACAGTAGTTGAACACACCATCTTTTGTATTACTGCTTAAATGTTTATTCAAATTGGTTGCTTTATGTTTTCCCAGGTACAGCAGGCGTTGTAAGTCACAGGAACAGGAGATATTGAAACAGGGTATCCAAGCCCCTGAAGCACCCATGGCAGGACCTGAGAACCTTCCTGCTGCTATGCAGAAAGGACCGACTCTCTGTTCCAGCAATTTGTCAGAGCCACACCTTTTTATCCTGCCACCAAATACTGCTGGGGAGGCTAAACTCAAAGGGAGGTCGCAACCTCAGGCCATCTTCCAGGCTCCACCATCACATCAAGGACTTCCTGTCCCTATTGCACCAGCACCACCTGTCTCTCTCCCTTTCATTTTACCACCTGTGCAGCTTCCTACAGTTCCTGGTACCTCACAGGTGATGTTCTTCAACCTCCCATTACCTTCAGCTATGCCACCATCAGCTCAGACACAGACATCCAGTCAACCGGTTCCTTACTCCACTCAGCAATATAGAAAGAGAAAACAGAAGAGGGAGAGCGCTGGAACAGTGACAAGAAAGTATGTTAGGAAGACAGACGTCATTCTTTGCAGAAAGTGCAATAAGGAGAGAAAGCCACCAACACATCTGCAGTACTTTGGCAACTGGTACTGCGAAGAGTCTGAGACTAAATCATATGATGAATGGAGAGCTGTGCTGATGGAACGAGGTTATAGGAAAAAAAAGCCAGGAAATGACAACCCTCCAGCTTCTTAAAATTGCTCTTTCAGCATGTTATTTTTATTTATTTATTTGATTAATGTTTGATTATACAACATAACAACGACAGCTGTCTTTAAAATGTATAACAACTATGTGTGTGATGCCTTTTGAATAATTTTTAAACATGGTTAGTGTGTGTGTGTGTGTGTGTGTGTGTGTGTGTGTGTGTGTGTGTGTGTGTGTGTGTGTTGCGCGCATGCATCTGTGAGTAGGATGGGGATAATGGGTGTTGTGTTTGTACCTTTATTTGTGTTTTATTCATTTTACTTTTCTTACACTTTATTTGATTACATTTGTTTACAGTTTTTAGAATAGGAGTGAAAGACCGGTATACTGTATCAGGTAATTTAATTCTTATTGGAGTTAAGTAAAATACTTGGCCCAGGAAAAGAAACTACAGTATCCAGAGATTGGTGGTCCATTGTTTTAATGGTCCTGTTAGTAGCTGTCACAGGGCAACAGGTGGTTGCCTGGATGAGAACAGTTTATTTTAGTTATTTTGTTACGTTAACTTATGCCTTAAGTTATTTATGTACCTGATTATCATTAATATCATCATTATTACTATTATTATTAATAATAATATATATTTTTAATAATAATAAAAATAATAGATGAGAAGCATTTGTTTAGTTTATTTATGTTTTAGCTATGCCTTAAGTTATTTATGTACCGGAATGTGATTATATTAAAAAATTTTAATGGGTTTGGATGTTTCTGTGTTTTTTCTTATTCATCTACTTCCTCTTTTCATTATTATTATTGTTTACTGTATTATTGACTACAACAACTACACTAAAATTATATACACATTTTAATTTCTGGGCAACAGGTGGTTGCCTGGATGAGAAGAGTTTATTTTAGTTATTTTATTATGTTAACTTATGCCTTAAGTTATTTATGTACCTGATTATCATTAATATCATTATTACTATTATTATTATTAATAATAATAATAGATGAGAAGCATTTAAGTTATTTATGTACCTGATTATCATTAATATCATTATTACTATTATTATTATAATAATATATATTTTAAATAATAATAATAATAATAGATGAGAAGCATTTATTTATGTTTAGTTATGCCTTAAGTTATTTATTATTATTACTAATACTATTATTAATATTACCAGTTTTAATAATTGTTGTGATTGTATTAAAAAAATATAATGTGTTTGGACGTTTTTGTGTTTTTCTTCTTCATCTTCTTCCTCTTATAATTATAATTATTATTGTTTACTGTATTATTATATACAAATGTTAATTTATACACATGACAGAATTATCTGGACTTAAATGTGTAGTTAAATAACATTTATCCTAATAATTAACATTAGTCATAAAAAGTTTGGACGAGCGGGATTCGATCCTGCGATCTTTGGGTCCATTTCAGGCAACTTTTGATAGCTTAGATAGACATATGCGCGCCGCGCTTGGCGCAATGGATAACGCGTCTGACTACGAATCAGAAGATTCCAGGTTCAACTCCTGGCTGGCTCGCTCTGCCTCATTTGCTTCGCTGTCAGCCCATAGCCATGTTATTATTATTAGCCCATAGTTTTTGTTATTATTATTATTGGATTAGTTGAATAATGTTTTAAATTGACAGTCCAACAATAGGCTGCTTTGTCAGTGGGATAACGGTTACCATACAATACCATGCATCTTTTCAGATGCATTGCATGGGTACTGTCACAAGGACCTTGCTTTAAGACAAGTTTATAGTGTCTATTATGCCAGCACAGGAATGGGAGGAAACTGAATCCCCTGGGCGAGGCAAATGCACTCAAGGCTGCCTGACTGGTGGGCCAGTGGCGCAATGGATAACGCGTCTGACTACGAATCAGAAGATTCCAGGTTCGACTCCTGGCTGGCTCGCTCTTCCTCTTTTGCTTCGCTGTCAGCCCATAGCCATTTTATTATTATTAGCCCATAGTTTTTGTTATTATTATTATTGGATTAGTTGAATAATGTTTTAAATTGACAGTCCAACAATAGGCTGCTTTGTCAGTGGGTTAACGGTTACCATACAAAAACGATCATTCCCATATTCTTAAAGGGGGGCGGTCACACACTAAAAGCCAAAGGGCCTGCTTGAGCCTTGAGGAAGTTCCCATATGGTCTAGCGGTCAGGATTCCTGGTTTTCACCCAGGCGGCCCGGGTTCGACTCCCGGTATGGGAAGTTCGTGTTGTCTTTGCTTCACTTATGGAAACAGCCAGGACGTCTCTCTGTGCCACTAGCACTTTTAGCCGGCAGGCGGAGCTTACGAAACCTGATAGGTTTAGGTTCTGTCCCCAAACGATGTGCCTTCGATAGCTCAGCTGGTAGAGCGGAGGACTGTAGGTGGCAAATTGGCAATCCTTAGGTCGCTGGTTCGACTCTGGCTCGAAGGAGGTCTTTTTCACAAGCAAACATTTCATTGGCCATGCTTCTCGACGAGGCCGTCAGCGCTTGAGTTGGTAGTCCAGCGTTTTGCAATCGCGACCGCCGCTGGAGGGCAAAAGCTCATTCCCTGACCGGGAATCGAACCCGGGCCACGGCGGTGAGAGCGCCAAATCCTAACCACTAGACCACCAGGGAAGGTCTGCTGACTCTTTCCCGTCAAGCCTGGCTGTGTGCCTCTACCAGATTTTGCAGCAACTGCTCAAGCAAGACCACTAAGGCTTGAATTTTCCTCCAGGAGAGGAGACGTCTCTGACCCTGGATCACAGTTATTCCACTGAGAAACTGTCACTGGCTCTGTAGGAATATCCTAACAACACCACAACTTGCCATGAAAACAAAGCAACCGAGATCACCAACATGTGACGCCTCCAACTTGAAGCTTTTTATAGCAGGCTCCTCATCAGACCCCTTCCTGACGTTGGCTCCAGGCCTGTTATTGGCATGAGAAAAAGTAGATGTCATGACAGGCCTCTGCCCAGCCGGACACCAACAAGTCGCGTGCATAGTTTTTGTTATTATTATTATTGGATTAGTTGAATAATATTTTAAATTGACAGTCCAACAATAGGCTGCTTTGTCAGTGGGATAACGGTTACCATACAATACCATGCGTCTTTTCAGATGCATTGCATGGGTACTGTCACAAGGACCTTGCTTTAAGACAAGTTTATAGTGTCTATTATGCCAGCACAGGAATGGGAGGAAACTGAACTCCCTGGGCGAGGCAAATGCACTCAAGGGTGCCTGACTGGTGGGCCAGTGGCGCAATGGATAACGCGTCTGACTACGAATCAGAAGATTCCAGGTTCGACTCCTGGCTGGCTCGCTCTGCCTCATTTGCTTTGCTGTCAGCCCATAGCCATGTTATTATTATTAGCCCATAGTTTTTGTTATTATTATTATTGGATTAGTTGAATAATATTTTAAATTGACAGTCCAACAATAGGCTGCTTTGTCAGTGGGATAACGGTTACCATACAATACCATGCATCTTTTCAGATGCATTGCATGGGTACTGTCACAAGGACCTTGCTTTGCGACAAGTTTATAGTGTCTATTATGCCAGCACAGGAATGGGAGGAAACTGAACCCCCTGGGCGAGGCAAATGCACTCAAGGGTGCCTGACTGGTGGGCCAGTGGCGCAATGGATAACGCGTCTGACTACGAATCAGAAGATTCCAGGTTCGACTCCTGGCTGGCTCGCTCTGCCTCATTTGCTTTGCTGTCAGCCCATAGCCATGTTATTATTATTAGCCCATAGTTTTTGTTATTATTATTATTGGATTAGTTGAATAATATTTTAAATTGACAGTCCAACAATAGGCTGCTTTGTCAGTGGGATAACGGTTACCATACAATACCATGCATCTTTTCAGATGCATTGCATGGGTACTGTCACAAGGACCTTGCTTTGCGACAAGTTTATAGTGTCTATTATGCCAGCACAGGAATGGGAGGAAACTGAACCCCCTGGGCGAGGCAAATGCACTCAAGGGTGCCTGACTGGTGGGCCAGTGGCGCAATGGATAACGCGTCTGACTACGAATCAGAAGATTCCAGGTTCGACTCCTGGCTGGCCTCGCTCTGCCTCTTTTGCTTCGCTGTCAGCCCATAGCCATTTTATTATTATTAGCCCATAGTTTTTGTTATTATTATTATTGGATTAGTTGAATAATATTTTAAATTGACAGTCCAACAATAGGCTGCTTTGTCAGTGGGATAACGGTTACCATACAATACCATGCATCTTTTCAGATGCATTGCATGGGTACTGTCACAAGGACCTTGCTTTGCGACCAGTTTATAGTGTCTATTATGCCAGCACAGGAATGGGAGGAAACTGAACCCCCTGGGCGAGGCAAATGAGAGCTCCCTCCGATGAGCCAGATGAAATTGAATTCAGTAAACTATCCCTTCGGATCATTCCCATATTCTTAAAGGGGGGCGGTCACACACTAAAAGCCAAAGGGCCTGCTTGAGGCTTGAGGCTTGAAGCTTGAGGAAGTTCCCATATGGTCTAGCGGTCAGGATTCCTGGTTTTCACCCAGGCGGCCCGGGTTCGACTCCCGGTATGGGAAGTTCGTGTTGTCTTTGCTTCACTTATGGAAACAGCCAGGACGTCTCTCTGTGCCACTAGCACTTTTAGCCGGCAGGCGGAGCTTTCGAAACCTGATAGGTTTAGGTTCTGTCCCCAAATGATGTGCCTTCGATAGCTCAGCTGGTAGAGCGGAGGACTGTAGGTGGCAAATTGGCAATCCTTAGGTCGCTGGTTTGACTCTAGCTCGAAGGAGGTCTTTTTCACAAGCAAACATTTCATTGGCCATGCTTCTCGATAACGGTTACCATACAATACCATGCGTCTTTTCAGATGCATTGCATGGGTACTGTCACAGGGACCTTGCTTTAAGACAATTTTATAGTGTCTATTATGCCAGCACAGGAATGGGAGGAAACTGAACCCCCTGGGCGAGGCAAATGCACTCAAGGCTGCCTGACTGGTGGGCCAGTGGCGCTTCATGCCGCCTGTAAATCGTGGTTATTCTTGGTTATGACAGCCAATCACGTTCCCTGCTGCAACCAAGATTCGTACTATTCTTGGTTATGACAGCCAATCACGTTCCCTGCTGCAACCAAGATTCGTACGCTTATGGCCAATCGCGGCTCTCATCGCTACCATGATTCAGCCTAGTAACTAACCAAGAATTGACCAATAAACGGCAAGAGTCACCTCCCCCCCAGAGACTTGCGAATTGGGACCGGAGAAGAGGATCACATTCATTGATTAACTTCGGATCAAAATTCGCAAAGTAAGTCAGTCTTTTGTCAATAAAAGTGAAGTGCCAAATATATAGTTGTTTTATATGAATAACATGTGTCTCAGACTAGCTAATAATTCAAGTAATTCATACAAAATATAATTAAAAAATGTGTTTATAGATAAAGCGACCAAGCAGAACAAAGCATAACATTACAGTTTACTACAGCTTTACCAGTTGCAACATTAAAATGATTGTTACACACTAAGGCATCACTAATTATAATTCAATTACTGTAATATAGTGTACATTATGCTTCTACTTTTAGTACTTTTACTATATTTTTATGCTAAACTAACTTTTTTTTAGCTAACGTTAAGTAGGCTAACATTTTGAATGCATTACATTTAACTGTTACTTGTAATAGAGCAAAGGAAATTTAAAAGAGGGGAAAGTAGTGGTATAACAATGGTATAATAATGGTATAATAATTATTGAAAAAATGACATCTTACTCTGGGATCATTCTGAGATTCTGATATGTAAATCAACATTTTAAGCCTGTTAGAAAAATATAGACACACAAAGCATAATATATAATCAACATTACAAGGTAGAAAAATATAGACACACAAAGCATAATATATAATCAACATTACAAGGTAGAAAAATATAGACACACAAAGCATAATATATAATCAACATTACAAGGTAGAAAAATATAGACACACAAAGCATAATATATAATCAACATTACAAGGTAGAAAAATATAGACACACAAAGCATAATATATAATCAACATTACAAGGTAGAAAAATATAGACACACAAAGCATAATATATAATCAACATTACAAGGTAGAAAAATATAGACACACAAAGCATAATATATAATCAACATTACAAGGTAGAAAAATATAGACACACAAAGCATAATATATAATCAACATTACAAGGTAGAAAAATATAGACACACAAAGCATAATATATAATCAACATTACAAGGTAGAAAAATATAGACACACAAAGCATAATATATAATCAACATTACAAGGTGATCATGAGTAAATATAGTAATGTAATATGCACGGCTGTATTAACTAATGTGTTACCAAATGTGTTTGTCTGTTTCTTTCTCTAAAGTCTTTATATCTTCAAACATTTTTATTTATTTAGATGGAACCTCGCTTAAGGAGACGAGCTGATGGCAGCCTGAATCTGACTGATACAATGGAAGCGGCAAAGGTGAAGGAGGCCAACAAAGGAAAGCCGTACACAAGACCCCTGTCCCCTGACATAGTGCTGGACAAGGCCAAGAAAAGCTTAAATCAGCACCATGGAGATCTAGCTAACAGAAAGCACCTGCTGGGTTTCTTTGAAATCCAGTTTGGTGTATTTCGAGGGCAAACATTCAAGTGGGTGGCTGAAAATGCCCTGGGGTATGCAGCTTACTTGGTGGCAGCTATGAAGAGGGACCCCACAGGAGGCAGCAAAGACTCCCAAGAACATGCCCACAACAAAGAGAGTTTCAGGGAGTATTTTGAGCTCTTTCCTTCTGGCAGAATTGCCATTGCCATGAAGGAAGAGCAATATGCTGGGAAAGCTCTCCAGCACGCTGCCACCACCCAGCACGCTACCTCCACCCAGCACGCTACCACCACCCAGCACGCTACCACCACCCAGCACACTACCTCCACCCAGCACGCTACCTCCACCCAGCACGCTACCACCACCCAGCACGCTACCACCACCCAGCACGCTACCTCCACCCAGCACGCTACCACCACCCAGCACGCTACCACCACCCAGCACGCTACCACCACCCAACACGCTGCCTCCACCCAGCATGCTACCATCACCACCCAGTACGCTACCATCACCTCCCAGCACGCTACCACCACCCAGCACGCTGCCTCCACCCAGCACGCTACAACCACCACCCAGCACGCTGCCTCCACCCATACTTCCACCGCCTCTCTCCGCTCCCTCTTGTTTAGGAAGTTGCCTAACCAGAAAAGCCTGACCAAGACCATTGAAAGGCTGGTTTCCCCCGTCAAATCCACACCTTGTAAGCAAACATTTATTTGTATAACACTTTTTTGGTGTGTTTAGTATTTATTGCTTTGTAGGATTTTAGGATTTATTGTTCTGTAGTCATGTTTATCTGTTCTGTGTTTTGTTTTGTAGCTTTGGCCCAGGCACGTACGCGGCCCTCAGCCACCCTCACTCGCCCGACTGTGTCCATTGAGGCAGGCACAGGGACCTCAGCAATCCTCAATAACCCGACTGTGTCCATTGAGGCAGCCACAGGGACCTCAGCTATCCTCACTCGCCCGACTGTGTCCATTGAGATAGATGACAGCACACTGCTGGCAGAGGCAACTAAGTTTGAGATGGTACATCTGGCATGTACGTTTATACTTATTTAAAATATGCAACAAAATATTCAAGTTCCATTCCAGGGATAAAAAAGTTAAGGGAAGTTATTGCGAATTTGCATTTGTTGTATTTATTAAATTTTTTGTTTTTTTCCCCAGCACAACGAGTCTGTCTTCCATCTGGATGGATACACACTCTGCCTGAAGTGGATCAGAGGTGGATTTCCAAGGCCCTGTTCAGGTGGACAGCACAGGGCCATCCTGAGCTGATCTTTAGCAGGGTGGACAAACTTTGGTGGTATCCTCCACAGGTTCCACTGAAGACCAGTAATTGCCCTCCCTTAGAGAACTACTTTGGCCATCCCCTGCTGCTCTGGATGCCACGAAAACTGTGGCAAGTGAAGCTGACCTGTCCACATCCAGACTGTCAGAAAGACCTTCTGACCTCAGCTGGCTTGCATCAAAAGATCAGGCAGGTGTTTGCCTTGGGTAAGATATACTTTGTGGCATCTGAGTACCTGGCCTGCCGAAGATGTAAGAGGAAAGTCATCAGCTGGAGCCATGATATCGTCTCCCAGCTCGACATTGGCCACAGGGTGCAGTTCCCTTGCATTCTTACATCAAAACTTGCATGTGACGTCGAGGTAGTATGTTTGATGCGTCAGCGAGGGCTGGGAAACAGCAGCAGCCAGATCCAGCGCAAGCTGCAGGAACGTCATACTGAGGTGTGGTTGCAAAAGACAGTCCAGTATCTGACAGATTGCAAGGGGATTGCCAGTGCTGTCACTTCGAGCCTGATCCTGCCTGTGACATTTGAATCTGCTCCTTCAATGCCTTCTGTCCCTAAGCATCGGTGGCTGATGCAGGTGTACGCCCAGGATGTCCTGCAAAGGCTGGATGAGATCAAGGCCACTATCACATCGCAATATGGTCGGATCTTAAAAATGGATTCAACAAAAAAAGTGGCCAGAAAACTAGCTGGACGCAGCTATGGCACTGCTACCTGGGCAACCAATGTTGGTAATGAGCACGGACAGGTGATCATGTCCGTGCTCACAGCCAGTGAAGGTTTTGGTCTCGGGCCAATGATTGAAGGCCTCATTAAAAGATACAGAGTGGCTGGGGTGGCTCCTCCCGAGATACTGTATGTTGACCGAGACTGCTGTGGCAACACTCTTCTGAGAAGAATGTTTGAAGAGTGGGAGCAAATGATCATCCGTTTGGATGTATGGCACTTCATGCGGAGGTTTGCTGTGGGTTGCACCACTGACTCTCATCAGTTGTATGCCACATTTATGAGTCGCCTCAGCCACTGTATTTTCATGTGGGACCAGGTTGACCTGACGGCCCTGAAGAAGGCAAAGCATGCAGAGCTAGAAGCTAACTGGAAACCTACATCCGAGGCTGATGTGCTGCGCAGTATCAGCCGTAACGAGCTAGCCCTACATTGCAGGAGAACCACTCGCGGGACCAAGGACACCCTGGCGCTGATTGAGAGCCATATTCAGGCCTTTGATGGAGATGCTGGTCGTGACACTATGGGAGTCCCACTAATAAACTCAGCCCGGATGAGAGAGATATTGAAGTCCCAGCGGAAGCATGTGGCCTGCATCCAGGATCCTGTAGGTGTGCAGCTCTACATGCAGACGGGCACTGTAGTGAAGGGAGGGCACCGTCTGCCAACCCACCGCTGTGCCAGAGGTTCCACTTCGCTTGAGTCATTTCACCTGCACCTTAACAGATTCATCCCAGGTAAATAAGTGACTTAACTGAATTATTAAAATAAGATTTGATTTAATTATATATTAAAATAACTATGGGAACAGCTATTTGTGTATCCATATGACATTTTTGTGTGGTCTTATTTTTCTTTTTTGAATTTACAGGTACGCTGGCGAGTGACACCTTCTTCCAGGCGTATCTTTTGGATGGACTTGCAAGGTGGAATGAGGACCGGGCTGTGGCAGCAACAACTGATGAGCAGCAGCCCCATTCCTACAATCATCTTCTGCGTCATGCTGTCAATACTCTTGCAGAGGAGGTTATGGGCAAGAAAATCATCCCTTATGTTGGGCCAAGAAAGTACACTGGTAGATAACTATTTGTTGTTTTTGGTCACTTTTTTTTTTAAGTGTACACATACCATTTAACCTCTGTATTATAATATAATATCCTGGTATATTATCTAATTTTCAATGTTTTAATATTTTAAAGGTGAGCTTATTGGAGTGGAATACCTTTACCAGCAAACTGGTAAAGTTCTGCAGGACTACAAGTTGGCCATTGAAGAGTCCGAGACCACTGAGGTTGGTATAGAAGTGGATGAAGGTTATGCTGAACTTGAGGAGTTTCAGGACATCACTGTCCCCACCTTTGACACAGAACGGACACCTGTTGCCTCTTCACAAGCATCAGTGTCTGCAGCATCATCTCCAACCCCTCCTGTCACCAGCTCCATTTCATCATTGTCTGTGGTTCCTCCATCACCAGTGACATCTCCTGTCACCAGCTCCATTTCATCATTGTCTGTGGTTCCTCCATCACCAGTGACATCTCCTGTCACCAGCTCCATTTCATCATTGTCTGTGGTTCCTCCATCACCAGTGACATCTGTCACCTGCTCCATTTCATCATCGTCTGTGGTCCCTCCGTCTCCTGTCACCAGCCCACTGCACAGTCATTCAAAGCCAGGACTCTTTCCTGGAGCACATAGCTGTGAGTTTACCAAAGTATCTATATAGAGTTATTGTGACAACAATTATCACCACCTCTATGTATATATGTCTTATTGAAAGGCAAAAATACAAATTTAAACTGAATGTTTGCCTTTTTCATGTAGTTCCAGTGGACCAATTATCAGCTGAAACTGGTCTTCTGACATCTGAAGAGAACACTTCACATGATGTAAGGGCCCAGTGTACATTTACGTCTGTAAACAAAATCTTAGTTATGTTTGCTGTGCTTTCATGTAAATATTTGTATTCATTGCTGCTATCAAAAGTTCCTAAATTATCTTTTATTTTAGGATTCTGTTGGACCTGATAATATTGGGGGGTATGGAGCCGTGCAGGACTTGGCAGAGTTCTTGGTTAGCCTCAGAGACCACCGTCTGGCCTTGACTGGAGAAGAGTGCGTCAAGATCATCACCCTATGGCAGGCATTGGGGGAGTATGACAAGAGGAAAACCATTTACCCACGACGTCACCAAACCTCCCTAAAACAGGGACGATTCAGAGCCACTAAGAAGATTGTGGCACCAGGTGTGGAGAGCACCAAAATGTATGTTAAATTTAGCAAACACAGGTTCTTGATTGTCTTAAATTTTGTATAAAACAAACCACAAAACATAACTATGCACAGATATTAAAAATTAACATCTGGACAACACAAAGCAAAACAGACAGATTAGAAAAGGGGGAAAAAAACAAGAAAAATAACAGAGTAACGATCACACATTAAAATGAATATGTATTCTGCTGTAATTTGCAGGTGTTTCGTTGGGGCTCATAGTCCTGCACAGTGGCCTAGCTGCAACCGAGTGGTGGAGGCCATCTTCACAAGGCTCTGTGCCCTCTATCCAAACGTGGTGCGGTGTGATGGAGTGAGGGTGTCCCGCTTCACAATGGTGGTGCGTGCCTACAAGCACATCCGAGAGTGCATCCTCAACAATGCTAAGGTGATGAGCGAGACCACCATCCAGCTCCCAGAAGTTAACACTGCAACAGTCACACAATGTTGAGTAAATTAGCATTGTTCCAGCTAAGCATAAATTGAAGTGCCACACAAAGCGTTAAAGTCTTTTATGTGGTTGTCTTACAGTTTTTTTTTCAATCGCCAACAAGCGCTTACCCATACTTCAGATACTTTTTCGAAACTCTTAACATAGACTCACACCAACAAAACACAATTGGCCAAATGGATGATTTTCTTCTCAAAAACACATTTTGTTAAATATATACTAACTTTCAAAATAGAACACATCTTTCTCTACACACTAAATTTCCCAAAACACTGGAAATCTGAAAATGAAATTATTCTGTCAAAGAATAACACTTGTTTTCACTTCACAAGGTACATGCAGTCAATCAAAGTACACCAGGTTTCAAAATAATGGCTATTGTTGACATTACAAAAACTACATAGAATTTTATGTGTCAGTTTTACAGGTATTTGCATGCAAAAAATGCAATCCCCCGTTTTTACACTAAATTTCTTGGTTGGGACTTTTATGTCCACATTTACCGTACTGTTCACATTCAAAAGCATTCCAGTAAAAAGCAAATCAGTTTTTTTCACCTCTCTCTGCACCTTCACCTCTCACTGCACCTCTCACTGCATCTCTCACTGCATCACTCACTGCACCTCTCACTGCATCACTCACTGCATCACTCACTGCACCTCTCACTGCACCTCTCACTGCATCTCTCACTGCATCTCTCACTGCATCACTCACTGCATCACTCACTGCATCTCTCACTGCATCTCTCACTGCATCACTCACTGCATCACTCACTGCATCTCTCACTGCATCTCTCACTGCACCTCTCACTGCACCTCTCACTGCATCTCTCACTGCATCTCTCACTGCACCTCTCACTGCATCTCTCACTGCATCTCTCACTGCATCACTCACTGCATCACTCACTGCATCTCTCACTGCATCTCTCACTGCATCACTCGCTGCACCTCTCACTGCATCACTCACTGCACCTCTCACTGCACCTCTCACTGCATCACTCACTGCATCTCTCACTGCACCTCTCACTGCACCTCTCACTGCACCTCTCACTGCATCTCTCACTGCACCTCTCACTGCACCTCTCACTGCATCTCTCACTGCACCTCTCACTGCATCTCTCACTGCATCTCTCACTGCACCTCTCACTGCACCTCTCACTGCATCTCTCACTGCACCTCTCACTGCACCACTCACTGCATCACTCACTGCATCACTCACTGCATCTCTCACTGCACCTCTCACTGCATCTCTCACTGCATCTCTCACTGCATCACTCACTGCATCTCTCACTACATGGGGTCAATTATTATTTATTTATTTTTTTATCAGCTGAGATATATTGTTTTTGAACTCATATCATTGCAGAAGCAGAGGTTTTTATAATATATCTAAGGTTTGGAATATTGTTTTTGCTATTGTGGGATGGTGTGTGTTACTGTAACATTTGTAAATACTACAAAAACAATCCATAATTTTGTTGGGAGGTATTGCTTGTCTGTTAAGAGAATGTAAGCATTGTGGAAATGTGTTCACTGACTGCATATTGTGTGAAAACGACATGACGTGTGAATCTCAGTGAATTTTAAATAATAATAATAATAATAGATGAGAAGCATTTATTTATGTTTAGTTATGCCTTAAGTTATTTATTATTATTACTAATACTATTATTAATATTACCAGTTTTAATAATTGTTGTGATTGTATTAAAAAAATATAATGTGTTTGGACGTTTTTGTGTTTTTCTTCTTCATCTTCTTCCTCTTATAATTATTATTATTATTGTTTACTGTATTATTATATACAAATGTTAATTTATACACATGACAGAATTATCTGGACTTAAATGTGTAGTTAAATAACATTTATCCTAATAATTAACATTAGTCATAAAAAGTTTGGACGAGCGGGATTCGATCCTGCGATCTTTGGGTCAATTTCAGGCAACTTTTGATAGCTTAGATAGACATATGCGCGCCGCGCTTGGCGCAATGGATAACGTGTCTGACTACGAATCAGAAGATTCCAGGTTCGACTCCTGGCTGGCTCGCTCTGCCTCTTTTGCTTCGCTGTCAGCCCATAGCCATTTTATTATTATTAGCCCATAGTTTTTGTTATTATTATTATTGGATTAGTTGAATAATGTTTTAAATTGACAGTCCAACAATAGGCTGCTTTGTCAGTGGGATAACGGTTACCATACAAATACGATCATTCCCATATTCTTAAAGGGGGGCGGTCACACACTAAAAGCCAAAGGGCCTGCTTGAGCCTTGAGGAAGTTCCCATATGGTCTAGCGGTCAGGATTCCTGGTTTTCACCCAGGCGGCCCGGGTTCAAATCCCGGTATGGGAAGTTCGTGTTGTCTTTGCTTCACTTATGGAAACAGCCAGGACGTCTCTCTGTGCCACTAGCGCTTTTAGCCGGCAGGCGGAGCTTACGAAACCTGATAGGTTTAGGTTCTGTCCCCAAACGATGTGCCTTCGATAGCTCAGCTGGTAGAGCGGAGGACTGTAGGTGGCAAATTGGCAATCCTTAGGTCGCTGGTTCGACTCTGGCTCGAAGGAGGTCTTTTTCACAAGCAAACATTTCATTGGCCATGCTTCTCGACGAGGCCGTCAGCGCTTGAGTTGTTAGTCCAGCGTTTTGCAATCGCGACCGCCGCTGGAGGGCAAAAGCTCATTCCCTGACCGGGAATCGAACCCGGGCCACGGTGGTGAGAGCGCCGAATCCTAACCACTAGACCACCAGGGAAGGTCTGCTGACTCTTTCCCGTCAAGCCTGGCTGTGTGCCTCTACCAGATTTTGCAGCAACTGCTCAAGCAAGACCACTAAGGCTTGATCAAGAACAGGTGATCATGTCCGTGCTCACAGCCAGTGAAGGTTTTGGTCTCGGGCCAATGATTGAAGGCCTCATTAAAAGATACAGAGTGGCTGGGGTGGCTCCTCCCGAGATACTGTATGTTGACCGAGACTGCTGTGGCAACACTCTTCTGAGAAGAATGTTTGAAGAGTGGGAGCAAATGATCATCCGTTTGGATGTATGGCACTTCATGCGGAGGTTTGCTGTGGGTTGCACCACTGACTCTCATCAGTTGTATGCCACATTTATGAGTCGCCTCAGCCACTGTATTTTCATGTGGGACCAGGTTGACCTGACGGCCCTGAAGAAGGCAAAGCATGCAGAGCTAGAAGCTAACTGGAAACCTACATCCGAGGCTGATGTGCTGCGCAGTATCAGCCGTAATGAGCTAGCCCTACATTGCAGGAGAACCACTCGCGGGACCAAGGACACCCTGGCGCTGATTGAGAGCCATATTCAGGCCTTTGATGGAGATGCTGGTCGTGACACTATGGGAGTCCCACTAATAAACTCAGCCCGGATGAGAGAGATATTGAAGTCCCAGCGGAAGCATGTGGCCTGCATCCAGGATCCTGTTGGTGTGCAGCTCTACATGCAGACGGGCACTGTAGTGAAGGGAGGGCACCGTCTGCCAACCTACCGCTGTGCCAGAGGTTCCACTTCGCTTGAGTCATTTCACCTGCACCTTAACAGATTCATCCCAGGTAAATAAGTGACTTAACTGAATTATTAAAATAAGATTTGATTTAATTATATATTAAAATAACTATGGGAACAGCTATTTGTGTATCCATATGACATTTTTGTGTGGTCTTATTTTTCTTTTTTGAATTTACAGGTACGCTGGCGAGTGACACCTTCTTCCAGGCGTATCTTTCGGATGGACTTGCAAGGTGGAATGAGGACCGGGCTGTGGCAGCAACAACTGATGAGCAGCAGCCCCATTCCTACAATCATCTTCTGCGTCATGCTGTCAATACTCTTGCAGAGGAGGTTATGGGCAAGAAAATCATCCCTTATGTTGGGCCAAGAAAGTACACTGGTAGATAACTATTTGTTGTTTTTGGTCACATTTTTTTTTAAGTGTACACATACCATTTAACCTCTGTATTATAATATAATATCCTGGTATATAATCTAATTTTCAATGTTTTAATATTTTAAAGGTGAGCTTATTGGAGTGGAATACCTTTACCAGCAAACTGGTAAAGTTCTGCAGGACTACAAGTTGGCCATTGAAGAGTCCGAGACCACTGAGGTTGGTATAGAAGTGGATGAAGGTTATGCTGAACTTGAGGAGTTTCAGGACATCACTGTCCCCACCTTTGACACAGAACGGACACCTGTTGCCTCTTCACAAGCATCAGTGTCTGCAGCATCATCTCCAACCCCTCCTGTCACCAGCTCCATTTCATCATTGTCTGTGGTTCCTCCATCACCAGTGACATCTCCTGTCACCAGCTCCATTTCATCATTGTCTGTGGTTCCTCCATCACCAGTGACATCTCCTGTCACCAGCTCCATTTCATCATTGTCTGTGGTTCCTCCATCACCAGTGACATCTGTCACCTGCTCCATTTCATCATCGTCTGTGGTCCCTCCGTCTCCTGTCACCAGCCCACTGCACAGTCATTCAAAGCCAGGACTCTTTCCTGGAGCACATAGCTGTGAGTTTACCAAAGTATCTATATAGAGTTATTGTGACAACAATTATCACCACCTCTATGTATATATGTCTTATTGAAAGGCAAAAATACAAATTTAAACTGAATGTTTGCCTTTTTCATGTAGTTCCAGTGGACCAATTATCAGCTGAAACTGGTCTTCTGACATCTGAAGAGAACACTTCACATGATGTAAGGGCCCAGTGTACATTTACGTCTGTAAACAAAATCTTAGTTATGTTTGCTGTGCTTTCATGTAAATATTTGTATTCATTGCTGCTATCAAAAGTTCCTAAATTATCTTTTATTTTAGGATTCTGTTGGACCTGATAATATTGGGGGGTATGGAGCCGTGCAGGACTTGGCAGAGTTCTTGGTTAGCCTCAGAGACCACCGTCTGGCCTTGACTGGAGAAGAGTGCGTCAAGATCATCACCCTATGGCAGGCATTGGGGGAGTATGACAAGAGGAAAACCATTTACCCACGACGTCACCAAACCTCCCTAAAACAGGGACGATTCAGAGCCACTAAGAAGATTGTGGCACCAGGTGTGGAGAGCACCAAAATGTATGTTAAATTTAGCAAACACAGGTTCTTGATTGTCTTAAATTTTGTATAAAACAAACCACAAAACATAACTATGCACAGATATTAAAAATTAACATCTGGACAACACAAAGCAAAACAGACAGATTAGAAAAGGGGGAAAAAAACAAGAAAAATAACAGAGTAACGATCACACATTAAAATGAATATGTATTCTGCTGTAATTTGCAGGTGTTTCGTTGGGGCTCATAGTCCTGCACAGTGGCCTAGCTGCAACCGAGTGGTGGAGGCCATCTTCACAAGGCTCTGTGCCCTCTATCCAAACGTGGTGCGGTGTGATGGAGTGAGGGTGTCCCGCTTCACAATGGTGGTGCGTGCCTACAAGCACATCCGAGAGTGCATCCTCAACAATGCTAAGGTGATGAGCGAGACCACCATCCAGCTCCCAGAAGTTAACACTGCAACAGTCACACAATGGTGAGTAAATTAGCATTGTTCCAGCTAAGCATAAATTGAAGTGCCACACAAAGCGTTAAAGTCTTTTATGTGGTTGTCTTACAGTTTTTTTTTCAATCGCCAACAAGCGCTTACCCATACTTCAGATACTTTTTCGAAACTCTTAACATAGACTCACACCAACAAAACACAATTGGCCAAATGGATGATTTTCTTCTCAAAAACACATTTTGTTAAATATATACTAACTTTCAAAATAGAACACATCTTTCTCTACACACTAAATTTCCCAAAACACTGGAAATCTGAAAATGAAATTATTCTGTCAAAGAATAACACTTGTTTTCACTTCACAAGGTACATGCAGTCAATCAAAGTACACCAGGTTTCAAAATAATGGCTATTGTTGACATTACAAAAACTACATAGACTTTTATGTGTCAGTTTTACAGGTATTTGCATGCAAAAAATGCAATCCCCCGTTTTTACACTAAATTTCTTGGTTGGGACTTTTATGTCCACATTTACCGTACTGTTCACATTCAAAAGCATTCCAGTAAAAAGCAAATCAGTTTTTTTCACCTCTCTCTGCACCTTCACCTCTCACTGCACCTCTCACTGCATCTCTCACTGCATCTCTCACTGCACCTCTCACTGCATCTCTCACTGCATCTCTCACTGCATCACTCACTGCATCACTCACTGCATCTCTCACTGCATCACTCACTGCATCACTCACTGCACCTCTCACTGCACCTCTCACTGCATCTCTCACTGCATCTCTCACTGCATCACTCACTGCATCACTCACTGCATCACTCACTGCATCTCTCACTGCACCTCTCACTGCACCTCTCACTGCATCTCTCACTGCATCTCTCACTGCACCTCTCACTGCATCTCTCACTGCATCTCTCACTGCATCACTCACTGCATCACTCACTGCATCTCTCACTGCATCTCTCACTGCATCTCTCACTGCACCTCACTGCATCTCTCACTGCATCACTCACTGCATCACTCACTGCATCACTCACTGCATCACTCACTGCATCTCTCACTGCATCTCTCACTGCACCTCTCACTGCACCTCTCACTGCATCTCTCACTGCATCTCTCACTGCACCTCTCACTGCATCTCTCACTGCATCTCTCACTGCATCACTCACTGCATCACTCACTGCATCTCTCACTGCATCTCTCACTGCATCTCTCACTGCACCTCTCACTGCATCTCTCACTGCATCTCTCACTGCATCACTCACTGCATCACTCACTGCATCTCTCACTGCATCTCTCACTGCACCTCTCACTGCACCTCTCACTGCACCTCTCACTGCATCTCTCACTGCATCACTCACTGCACCTCTCACTGCACCTCTCACTGCATCTCTCACTGCACCTCTCACTGCATCACTCACTGCATCACTCACTGCATCTCTCACTGCACCTCTCACTGCATCTCTCACTGCATCTCTCACTGCATCACTCACTGCATCTCTCACTACATGGGGTCAATTATTATTTTTTTATTTTTTTATCAGCTGAGATATATTGTTTTTGAACTCATATCATTGCAGAAGCAGAGGTTTTTATAATATATCTAAGGTTTGGAATATTGTTTTTGCTATTGTGGGATGGTGTGTGTTACTGTAACATTTGTAAATACTACAAAAACAATCCATAATTTTGTTGGGAGGTATTGCTTGTCTGTTAAGAGAATGTAAGCATTGTGGAAATGTGTTCACTGACTGCATATTGTGTGAAAACGACATGACGTGTGAATGGTATGGCCACAAAAGATCGATGCTGTGCTAATTGTGTTTAGAGTTTTGAAAATGTGACAACTGTTTGGACAAATACTTGTTAGCGACTGAAAAAACTGTAATATAGCTATGGCTGCTTTGACCTGTTGGCTAGAAACAAATCAACAAGAGTCCAACTTCTGCTTTCTTCTCCATTATGAAAAATAAGATTTATTGCTCACGACATGGTCTTCAACAGACTGCAAGAATCAATAATCAGTACAACGTATCTCCATAAACAGCTTTCCAACACACATACAAACGAACAGCTACTACCGTACCAGCGGCATTTTACTAAAGCAATGATACACGAGACAAGGGTGAGATCAATTGCTCTGTGATCTCAGCTGTGTCTTGCTGTTGCATCATAGTCATGATCAAACAGTAGTTGAACACACCATCTTTTGTATTACTGCTTAAATGTTTATTCAAATTGGTTGCTTTATGTTTTCCCAGGTACAGCAGGCGTTGTAAGTCACAGGAACAGGAGATATTGAAACAGGGTATCCAAGCCCCTGAAGCACCCATGGCAGGACCTGAGAACCTTCCTGCTGCTATGCAGAAAGGACCGACTCTCTGTTCCAGCAATTTGTCAGAGCCACACCTTTTTATCCTGCCACCAAATACTGCTGGGGAGGCTAAACTCAAAGGGAGGTCGCAACCTCAGGCCATCTTCCAGGCTCCACCATCACATCAAGGACTTCCTGTCCCTATTGCACCAGCACCACCTGTCTCTCTCCCTTTCATTTTACCACCTGTGCAGCTTCCTACAGTTCCTGGTACCTCACAGGTGATGTTCTTCAACCTCCCATTACCTTCAGCTATGCCACCATCAGCTCAGACACAGACATCCAGTCAACCGGTTCCTTACTCCACTCAGCAATATAGAAAGAGAAAACAGAAGAGGGAGAGCGCTGGAACAGTGACAAGAAAGTATGTTAGGAAGACAGACGTCATTCTTTGCAGAAAGTGCAATAAGGAGAGAAAGCCACCAACACATCTGCAGTACTTTGGCAACTGGTACTGCGAAGAGTCTGAGACTAAATCATATGATGAATGGAGAGCTGTGCTGATGGAACGAGGTTATAGGAAAAAAAAGCCAGGAAATGACAACCCTCCAGCTTCTTAAAATTGCTCTTTCAGCATGTTATTTTTATTTATTTATTTGATTAATGTTTGATTATACAACATAACAACGACAGCTCTCTTTAAAATGTATAACAACTATGTGTGTGATGCCTTTTGAATAATTTTTAAACATGGTTGGTGTGTGTGTGTGTGTGTGTGTGTTGCGCGCATGCATCTGTGAGTAGGATGGGGATAATGGGTGTTGTGTTTGTACCTTTATTTGTGTTTTATTCATTTTACTTTTCTTACACTTTATTTGATTACATTTGTTTACAGTTTTTAGAATAGGAGTGAAAGACCGGTATACTGTATCAGGTAATTTAATTCTTATTGGAGTTAAGTAAAATACTTGGCCCAGGGAAAGAAACTACAGTATCCAGAGATTGGTGGTCCATTGTTTTAATGGTCCTGTTAGTAGCTGTCACAGGGCAACAGGTGGTTGCCTGGATGAGAACAGTTTATTTTAGTTATTTTGTTACGTTAACTTATGCCTTAAGTTATTTATGTACCTGATTATCATTAATATCATCATTATTACTATTATTATTAATAATAATAATAGATGAGAAGCATTTAAGTTATTTATGTACCTGATTATCATTAATATCATTATTACTATTATTATTATAATAATATATATTTTAAATAATAATAATAATAATAGATGAGAAGCATTTATTTATGTTTAGTTATGCCTTAAGTTATTTATTATTATTACTAATACTATTATTAATATTACCAGTTTTAATAATTGTTGTGATTGTATTAAAAATATATAATGTGTTTGGACGTTTTTGTGTTTTTCTTCTTCATCTTCTTCCTCTTATAATTATTATTATTATTGTTTACTGTATTATTATATACAAATGTTAATTTATACACATGACAGAATTATCTGGACTTAAATGTGTAGTTAAATAACATTTATCCTAATAATTAACATTAGTCATAAAAAGTTTGGACGAGCGGGATTCGATCCTGCGATCTTTGGGTCAATTTCAGGCAACTTTTGATAGCTTAGATAGACATATGCGCGCCGCGCTTGGCGCAATGGATAACGCGTCTGACTACGAATCAGAAGATTCCAGGTCCGACTCCTGGCTGGCTCGCTCTGCCTCTTTTGCTTCGCTGTCAGCCCATAGCCATTTTATTATTATTAGCCCATAGTTTTTGTTATTATTATTATTGGATTAGTTGAATAATGTTTTAAATTGACAGTCCAACAATAGGCTGCTTTGTCAGTGGGATAACGGTTACCATACAAAAACGATCATTCCCATATTCTTAAAGGGGGGCGGTCACACACTAAAAGCCAAAGGGCCTGCTTGAGCCTTGAGGAAGTTCCCATATGGTCTAGCGGTCAGGATTCCTGGTTTTCACCCAGGCGGCCCGGGTTCGACTCCCGGTATGGGAAGTTCGTGTTGTCTTTGCTTCACTTATGGAAACAGCCAGGACGTCTCTCTGTGCCACTAGCACTTTTAGCCGGCAGGCGGAGCTTACGAAACCTGATAGGTTTAGGTTCTGTCCCCAAACGATGTGCCTTCGATAGCTCAGCTGGTAGAGCGGAGGACTGTAGGTGGCAAATTGGCAATCCTTAGGTCGCTGGTTCGACTCTGGCTCGAAGGAGGTCTTTTTCACAAGCAAACATTTCATTGGCCATGCTTCTCGACGTGGCCGTCAGCGCTTGAGTTGTTAGTCCAGCGTTTTGCAATCGCGACCGCCGCTGGAGGGCAAAAGCTCATTCCCTGACCGGGAATCGAACCCGGTCCGCGGCGGTGAGAGCGCCGAATCCTAACCACTAGACCACCAGGGAAGGTCTGCTGACTCTTTCCCGTCAAGCCTGGCTGTGTGCCTCTACCAGATTTTGCAGCAACTGCTCAAGCAAGACCACTAAGGCTTGAATTTTCCTCCAGGAGAGGAGACGTCTCTGACCCTGGATCACAGTTATTCCACTGAGAAACTGTCACTGGCTCTGTAGGAATATCCTAACAACACCACAACTTGCCATGAAAACAAAGCAACCGAGATCACCAACATGTGACGCCTCCAACTTGAAGCTTTTTATAGCAGGCTCCTCATCAGACCCCTTCCTGACGTTGGCTCCAGGCCTGTTATTGGCATGAGAAAAAGTAGATGTCATGACAGGCCTCTGCCCAGCCGGACACCAACAAGTCGCGTGCATAGTTTTTGTTATTATTATTATTGGATTAGTTGAATAATATTTTAAATTGACAGTCCAACAATAGGCTGCTTTGTCAGTGGGATAACGGTTACCATACAATACCATGCATCTTTTCAGATGCATTGCATGGGTACTGTCACAAGGACCTTGCTTTGCGACCAGTTTATAGTGTCTATTATGCCAGCACAGGAATGGGAGGAAACTGAACCCCCTGGGCGAGGGAAATGCACTCAAGGGTGCCTGACTGGTGGGCCAGTGGCGCAATGGATAACGCGTCTGACTACGAATCAGAAGATTCCAGGTTCGACTCCTGGCTGGCTGGCTCGCTCTGCCTCTTTTGCTTCGCTGTCAGCCCATAGCCATTTTATTATTATTAGCCCATAGTTTTTGTTATTATTATTATTGGATTAGTTGAATAATATTTTAAATTGACAGTCCAACAATAGGCTGCTTTGTCAGTGGGATAACGGTTACCATACAATACCATGCATCTTTTCAGATGCATTGCATGGGTACTGTCACAAGGACCTTGCTTTGCGACCAGTTTATAGTGTCTATTATGCCAGCACAGGAATGGGAGGAAACTGAACCCCCTGGGCGAGGCAAATGAGAGCTCCCTCCGATGAGCCAGATGAAATTGAATTCAGTAAACTATCCCTTCGGATCATTCCCATATTCTTAAAGGGGGGCGGTCACACACTAAAAGCCAAAGGGCCTGCTTGAGGCTTGAGGCTTGAGGCTTGAGGAAGTTCCCATATGGTCTAGCGGTCAGGATTCCTGGTTTTCACCCAGGCGGCCCGGTTTCGACTCCCGGTATGGGAAGTTCGTGTTGTCTTTGCTTCACTTATGGAAACAGCCAGGACGTCTCTCTGTGCCACTAGCACTTTTAGCCGGCAGGCGGAGCTTACGAAACCTGATAGGTTTAGGTTCTGTCCCCAAACGATGTGCCTTCGATAGCTCAGCTGGTAGAGCGGAGGACTGTAGGTGGCAAATTGGCAATCCTTAGGTCGCTGGTTCGACTCTGGCTCGAAGGAGGTCTTTTTCACAAGCAAACATTTCATTGGCCATGCTTCTCGACGAGGCCGTCAGCGCTTGAGTTGGTAGTCCTGCGTTTTTTAATCGCGACCGCCGCTGGAGGGCAAAAGCTCATTCCCTGACCGGGAATCGAACCCGGCCGCGGCGGTGAGAGCGCCGAATCCTAACCACTAGACCACCAGGGAAGGTCTGCTGACTCTTTCCCGTCAAGCCTGGCTGTGTGCCTCTACCAGATTTTGCAGCAACTGCTCAAGCAAGACCACTAAGGCTTGAATTTTCCTCCAGGAGAGGAGACGTCTCTGACCCTGGATCACAGTTATTCCACTGAGAAACTGTCACTGGCTCTGTAGGAATATCCTAACAACACCACAACTTGCCATGAAAACAAAGCAACCGAGATCACCAACATGTGACGCCTCCAACTTGAAGCTTTTTATAGCAGGCTCCTCATCAGACCCCTTCCTGACGTTGGCTCCAGGCCTGTTATTGGCATGAGAAAAAGTAGATGTCATGACAGGCCTCTGCCCAGCCGGACACCAACAAGTCGCGTGCATAGTTTTTGTTATTATTATTATTGGATTAGTTGAATAATATTTTAAATTGACAGTCCAACAATAGGCTGCTTTGTCAGTGGGATAACGGTTACCATACAATACCATGCGTCTTTTCAGATGCATTGCATGGGTACTGTCACAAGGACCTTGCTTTAAGACAAGTTTATAGTGTCTATTATGCCAGCACAGGAATGGGAGGAAACTGAACCCCCTGGGCGAGGCAAATGCACTCAAGGCTGCCTGACTGGTGGGCCAGTGGCGCAATGGATAACGCGTCTGACTACGAATCAGAAGATTCCAGGTTCGACTCCTGGCTGGCTCGCTCTGCCTCATTTGCTTCGCTGTCAGCCCATAGCCATGTTATTATTATTAGCCCATAGTTTTTGTTATTATTATTATTGGATTAGTTGAATAATATTTTAAATTGACAGTCCAACAATAGGCTGCTTTGTCAGTGGGATAATGGTTACCATACAAATACGATCATTCCCATATTCTTAAAGGGGGGCGGTCACACACTAAAAGCCAAAGGGCCTGCTTGAGCCTTGAGGAAGTTCCCATATGGTCTAGCGGTCAGGATTCCTGGTTTTCACCCAGGCGGCCCGTGTTAGACTCCCGGTATGGGAAGTTCGTGTTGTCTTTGCTTCACTTATGGAAACAGCCAGGACGTCTCTCTGTGCCACTAGCACTTTTAGCCGGCAGGCGGAGCTTTCGAAACCTGATAGGTTTAGGTTCTGTCACCAAACGATGTGCCTTCGATAGCTCAGCTGGTAGAGCGGAGGACTGTAGGTGGCAAATTGGCAATCCTTAGGAAACTGAACCCCCTGGGCGAGGCAAATGCACTCAAGGGTGCCTGACTGGTGGGCCAGTGGCGCAATGGATAATGCGTCTGACTACGAATCAGAAGATTCCAGGTTCGACTCCTGGCTGGCTCGCTCTGCCTCTTTTGCTTCGCTGTCAGCCCATAGCCATTTTATTATTATTAGCCCATAGTTTTTGTTATTATTATTATTGGATTAGTTGAATAATATTTTAAATTGACAGTCCAACAATAGGCTGCTTTGTCAGTGGGATAACGGTTACCATACAATACCATGCATCTTTTCAGATGCATTGCATGGGTACTGTCACAAGGACCTTGCTTTGCGACCAGTTTATAGTGTCTATTATGCCAGCACAGGAATGGGAGGAAACTGAACCCCCTGGGCGAGGCAAATGAGAGCTCCCTCCGATGAGCCAG